AAAAGTGTTTGCTAATTGGAGAGCTGAGGTCTCCCGTAGGTCTCCGCCGGAGACCTAAATCACAAAAAGGCACAGCAATTTTTCCATTGTCATAATTTTTCAAAGATTTTGCAACCACTTCTTCTACTCCTTGTTTCGCATCTTTAAGAGCCAATTTTGGTGGATGTTCATTGTCTACTCGCTAAGAAAAACTGGTTTATATGGATGTTGTAAAATTCATTTGAATTTCCCGCGCGAACGCCCGCCTTGAAACAAACATTGAATTCGTATTGGAGCACGTTTCTGACCGGTCACAGAATGCGTATAGAATTGAAATAAGAGGATGGTGGGAAGCTTCAAGATTCTTCTTGTTAAAAAAGCAGTCAGAAATCACAATAAACTCTAGATTCCAACTCGGATCCTGTACGATTTCCCCCTCGCTCTTTCACAAAAACGAATTCCAGCTTGCCCCCCGGAGACCTGCCGCCGAGGTCTGTCCAAACCGCCACTTCGACAAAATTCCTTCCCTTATAAGTTAATTTCGCAGCGACTCTGATACTGCATAAATAGCTCAAATTTCCTTAAGAACAGTCTTTTGCAATTTCATTGTGTCCACAGGGGGTCACTCTATTCTTGGGAATTCCTCTCATGCACACAGGGGGTATAAGGAGAGGATAGGAGCCTTGCTAGGGTTCTTTTAATACTTAATTCGCTTTCCTTCCTAAGTGAGGTTCATCAGCGCAATCCAGTAAACATGCATATATGCAACAGGGCGAATAACCACATTCTAAATCGCTTCAATTCCTTAAATTTGTCTGAAACATTTTTTATGCATTATCATATGTACCGTAACTCCAATCTACATATAGAGATGGACCAATGCTGAAAACTTACATTTCTTTTTTTGTGTAGACCATTGTCCAATAGCTCTGCACTCCTTCCCCCACAATTTTAAAAGGTCGCTCAAATAAAAAAGCCATACATTCCAATGTGCTAAGTTGATATCTTGGGTTGATTTTTCTGAAGGTCTACCAAAATGGAGATACTACCCCATCCTTTATAACGTAATGTGACGTATGCCAAGGAACGCAAAATCAACTGCTGCATTTCGGAGCTTTTTTGCAAATTTGCAGTCTCTGCGATATGTATTGCTAAAAGATAGGAGGAAATGTTTATTGGGCCCTAGATCGGCATACGCTTGACATTAACGAGGTGGAGATATTTCTACAAATGCAGCTGATATGCTCTGCATGTATATATACAAGGTTGAAAATTGTTGGTTTAGTTGCATGTAGCATCGTTCCATCAAACGTTCGAATGACACAACTAAAATACCATTTTGAGACTTTCTGATGTGCAGCATTTAAGTAGTACCTACTTTCTGTGATCCAGCCTTCTCAATCGCCTTCTTCACCCTATTAGCAAGTTCAGGGTCAACCTGAATGCCTCATTTAAACAGTGGCTGAAAGCCAGATATCGCATTCAACCTACACTTCCGTAGTTCTTGAGGAAACGCTCTTGAACAGGAGGTGAGGCGTCTTTCAGCATGTTGGCAGTATTTTCGACCAGTCGAGCTCGCTCACCATCGTTCAGGACCTACAGCAGTAATGTGCATTTCTAAACTCTTATGAGCGATTAATGGACTGCATGCGTTCAGGTCGTGTAGCACGCACTGCCCTGCCCAGATTATGGGCCGTCGGATAAATTCGTTTCAAGCTCAAAAATTTTCAAAGAAACCAAAAGTATATCACTTGAAACCAAGTCTCCCTACGAGAAGGTGTACAAGCTTACCCGGTTATTTCAGCTTTGTTAAATTAGAAGTGATTGAGATTGAAAGTTTAGAGGACCGAAAAAGCTTAACTGACATTTTAAGTTTTTTTGGAATGCAAGAAGATTGAAAATTCTTGTAATACCATATGATGTGGTAAATGGAAATGATGATCATGGAAATTATATCCATCAGGCACGACAGGGCCTTACTGTAGGATTACGGTGGTATAAGTGACAGTGGTCAAAATCACGGATTTGTCCAAAAAGTGGTGTAGTGGGGTGAATTGAATGCTGATCACATGGATACCCAAATCGCACAATAAGCTCTCACCGTAATATTAGGGAGAGTATACGATGGTAAGCTCAAAATCATTGGTCTCCTGGAAAAGGGAAATATGTGAGTTTGACCCTACATCGAATACGTATCATTATCCTTCAGTACCGTCCTATAGAGAGGAATCACTATACCTTTCGTAACCAGTACAGTCAATTACCCCAACAAGTCGGATTTTGTAGATTCCGGGCTCCCCCAATCAGAAAAATTGAGCTTTTCTGCTCTCTAGAGATATATTTTCAATCACTTCTAGTTCAGCAGAACTCAATTCGTTGAACAAGCTAATCATATTGCAATATTTTATAGAAAACTTCTACTTTCGAATGATATACGATGTGTCGTCGAAACTTTTGACTTCTAAAAACATTTGAGTTTAGAAAAAAAACGGCGCGAACTTATCCGATGATGGTTGAAACAAAAGCAACTAACTTGTTGCCAAAAGATTCTAGGCTGTTCGAAATCATCGTCGTGACCCGGATCATGACGATCCACGTCTCCGCTCACATGAAATACGCTTTCAGTTCGTTCCTTATTTTCAACGTGCCCGTTGAAGCTATCAGGGAAATAGTGTGGTGCTTCGCCTTAAATTCTTTTTGTATATTAGTCCCAAAATTAAAGACGAATATTTTCTACCTTGGCTATAAAAACAAGCGAGTCCATCACGTTGAGTGTTTTGTGGACGGCTGCGATATGGACAATTAATTGGAAGTTGCATATAATTAGGTCCAAGACGATGATATTGTGTGTCAGGATAAGAGAAGATACGTCCTTGAAGTAGTTTGTCCGGGGAAAATTCGATTCCCGGCACGAGACGAGATGGAGCAAATGCTGATTGCTCTACCTAGAAATTACGCATTTGATATAGAGATACCTCCACGCAGTTTTTAAAAAATATTGATTGGATTGTAATAAGTTCACTTAGTATCTGACATGCATGATCCCCATTCCTTCCCCTTCCCATCTCTATGGTTACGAGAGTTCAAAAGGGCACATACCTATTTAAAATAATGCAGTAACCTATATATTTTAGTTTTCACAATTATTCTTCTGAGTACAATTAAGGTAGTAAATGCATGTGAGAAAACCCTGTTTGGATTTCACCTCATAACTTTCAATGATGACAATTTATCCAACGTCAGATAAAACATATCTTAAACATTCACTGTCCAGGAATGCCCAATACCAAAACAAAAAGAATAGAATGGGTTTTCGCGGAAAGGCTAGGCTTGATAGGCCCAAGCCTCGCCTATTTTGCCTATTTTCAGCGATACCAATAAACCAACTAGTGCTAACCATGACGTAATTATTGTTCATTCCTTTAGGGAAAACATTAATTTTTAAGCCTTGAAATAATTTAGAATTTCTATATCTTCTCAGTCACTTCCGGAGTAGTCCAAACTAGATTTTTAGATGGAGAGAATGAATATAAATAAAATAAAGCTAAATAAGGGAAGGCTTGATTCTGATACATGAAACATGACCACTTTAGTCAAGATTTTCATTCATACATACCAACAGCGAGCTTGCTAGCATTTGCTTAAAGAGTCTTAACACATTATTTAGTAGATACATGTTTTCCATAGAAAAGAAACTAAAAGTGAGGTTCCAGAGTGTTTGAGGGTACAAATAAATGTCTTATATTTATTTATTTGCTGATTCAAACTATATCCCAACTATATCCTGCACTTTTACTCTATTGCCATTTATATACCGATAATAATCGAAATAAACATTTCCAAACAAACCTCTGCAAAGTAGTTCGTGGGGTTTCTGTTCAAAACCAATTTGCCAACAGGCATCAGCGGAAACTCATTGTGGGGCCAGACCTTGGTGACATCAAACGGATCCATTGTCCATTTTTCGGCTTGTTCGAAGGTCATCACCTAAACAAGAAGGAAGCGCCTGTCTAAAGCCTGACCAACTCAAGCAGATAACTATTACTTGAATAGATAGGAACCATTCCGGATATTCGCCTCTATCAATAGCGTTGTAGAGGTCGCGAACAGAATAATCAGGATCTTCACCCACTAAGCGCCTAGCGTCTTCGGCCATGAGGTTCTTGACAGTCTTTGTCTGAAAAAAACCAAAAATCTCAAAAATCCAAAGATTCACCAGATGACGTACTTGGAAGTGGAATTTGCAATAAACCGCTTGGCCTTCGGCGTTCACAAGCTTGAAAGCATGCGAGCCATATCCATGCATGAAACGGAATCCGTCGGGAGTTCCGCGATCAGACATAAGGAACATTACCTAAAATGTTCACAGAATACCCTTGCCATAACTCGTTTGGCGAACAAGACTTACCTGGTGAGTACTTTCAGGACGATTTGCCCAAAAATCGAATAATGCGTTCATATCTCTAAGATGCGTCTGTGGATTTCTTTTCAGGACATGTATAAAGTTGGAAAATTGCATTGGATCACGGACAAAGAAGATCGGTGTGTTGTTGGCAACCTGAATCGAATAAAGTGAAATACTTCAAGAGAGATATAGATGTTCATTTTTCTTCAAAAATTTTGTAATTTTGGACACAAAGAATTTGAAAAGTAGAGCGATGCAAATTGGTTGGGATAAAAGAAGTTTTTTGGACTAACGGAATTTTCTGTAGTGAGAAATTTCCAGTTTTTGGCCCTATCAAGCCATGACTAGATGCAAGCCCTTGAAGACCCATATTGGAGGGGCAAAGGTTTATATTTTCGCTTTTTTACTTCACCCTGTTTAACATGAAGTGACCAATAAATTCAATCCATAATTTAGAAAATTTAATGGTCATCAGTGCGAACCAAGCTGCGGGGCGCCAATGACGCCTTTAAGTCGCGTTGAGTGGGTTACCGCGATGTTAGTTATTAGTCATGCCTCATAGGCATCAGATGCAGCTCTCCGCCGCTGTGAACGACTTTATTTGAAAATTTATTTCTGTGTTATTGTAGCGGAGAAGAGGATGTGGCTAGAATCTAACACATTCATTTTGTGGAAATTCTTATCTACCCAATTAGTAAGCCAAATCGAGCAGATTAGCATATGTCGTAACAATTCAAACTCACCATATCCCATATTCCCTCCTCAGTGTAGAACTTGAGGGCAAATCCTCGTGGATCACGGACCGTATCAGCTGATCCTGACTCGAGTGCTGAGAAATTAACTTTGCTCAAAATTTCCAAAAATTTTCCCAAGAAAGTAGAACATGACTAAAAGCTATAGTGGAATATAAGGTTTGTGAAGGACTTTCTGGAAGAGCATGAAGGAAGTTGTGTAAGTGATCAAAATTTTTCTTGGCGCGTTTTAGCATTATAAAAATGTTCATTTTTTACAATAATACATGTTTTCCGCATCTGACAGAAGCGCCAGAAAGTCTGCACTTGAACATTTAAACTCACCAACAGTGGAGAATCGTGCAAAAACTGGTGTTTGCTTTCCAATTTCATTCAAAAACTTTGCTTTGCAATATTTGGTAATGTCGTGCGTTACCTCGAAGTAACCGTGCGCTCCTAAATTAAACGTCATAAGGTTGGAAAGGTAGAAGGCCTATCTTTTAGCTTCCCCTGGAACTATCACTGAGAATGACCGATAGTTCGTTACGATGACAAAATCAGGGAGATCTTCAGCCAAACCATTCATATGTGATCGGCTAATTCGGAGTCTTGGAGATATGTATGTATAATGTTTTAGCAAATTTTCAACGGCTTTGCTCCTCTATTTCCAATTACACCATTAAAAGAGCAGCATTTAACTGGTTTTCAAGCCAAACCCCACATAAAAAAACTAGGTAACCGCATCTGGCCATTGCAAACCCTTACGATCAAAGCAAGTATGATTTTCAACCACCCTAGTTACAGAAACTTTTTGAGACAAACTTGCTACTAACCTGCACCCTTAGCGTGCACAACTCGCTCGGGAACTCGTTCACGGTCGAAGTGGCT